AGAAGAACATACGTATCTTCCTTCATGAACAACATGATCAAGATGATGACACTGCTTTTCCTTCCCTTCTTGCTCTTCTTCTTCTTCTCCTCCTTCTTGTTCTTGTTCTTCTTCTTGTTCTTCTTCTTCTTCACGAAGTCTCTTTTCACGTACATAGGCACGTAAGATCTCTAATTCAGAATCCATCTTCACCCCACACCATCATCTTCATAGTGAAACATTATCCATCAATATATCTACTTTTATACCCACTCCTATCCGGGGATAATAGCAAAATACTCCTGAAAAAATAAATATAAAATGAACAGAATAAAGATTAACAATGACGATAAGTGTGCCTTATTCAACCCAAAGGTCAAAGGTCAAACCCTGGGGGGGAGTCCCGGGGTCAGACTAAGCACGACCGACACAGTGTGCCTTATTTGGCCCAAAGGTCAAAGCAATAGAAGAAAGGCATTCACATCTCAATCTGATATCATAGTCGAAAGATTCCAAACCCGAACAAAAAAGACTCACCATGACGGGGGCGTCTTTCCGCTTTCGAAACACATCGTGTTCTCCAAGGTCGTCACCTCCCCGTGGCGTGACCCCTTGGTCTTGTTTGAGACGTCTAGACGTAGCCTTGTTTACAAAGGTCATCGCGGCGTGAACTTTGACCTCGAGGTGAAGTAGTCTCAACCTGCAGTTTCATTATCGACTCCTTCTTGCAGTGTGAAGAAGCTAAAATGGCGTGGACATTTTCTGAGACGTGCAGAGCAGAGAAATGGTATTTATTTTCATGCGATAATGAAGAGTTCTCAATCCGTCGCCTCAGTGCTAGCAAGACAACCAGGGATCTTGACCCGATGATAGCACATCCCAGAAGATTCGATATGTCACCACTCACTGCTGCTGAGTATATTATCTGCAGGGTCACCAGTCTGATCTTGAATGTGAAGAATAGGAAACAGCACCTTCCTAAAATCGTCATCGGTGGTGTGGAGGACTACGGAACTATTAGTGAGACTGATGATGGTGTCATACTGCGAAGGTGGACTGATGGTAGACACTCATTCTACAAGCTTAGTGACATGCGCGACGAACCGTGCTCTCAACACATCATCGACCTCTTCGCTGATGCAACCTTTTTGGATTCCAGCGACGTAATGCAACTTGTCAAGGAGGTGAACGAAAAATGAAGTCTCTCGAGTTGATCGTGTGCGTGTACGACGTAGTACCAAGGCCGTTCAACTCCGTGCCGTTGCAACAAGAGTAACGCGGATTCGTGTGCGAGTTGGTACGATCGACATCGGCGACGATGGATTTATCTCCAAATTACCCGAGTCGACTGTTGACACGATGGCGGTGCAAAGGAGGTCGTCGACTGACAGTTCCATTGCTGACTGGGTGGAACCATTGGTGCACATCAGAGCGTCCGACAACTCCACCTCGTACTGCGTGTCACGGAAGAGATCATGGGTGAATCCATCCTCACACGTATTCGAAGAGTAAACTTTGTGGTCTCTCATCCAATACCAGCTTGATGAAATCAGGACAACAAGAACTGAATTGTACTACCTTTCTCCTCCACTCCATTGCGATATTCACTGTTCGTTCCATTATTCTTTGTAATGACATGTATCGTATCTATCAAGAACTGACCTTTCTGACGTGTGTGCGAGCAGGACCATTTTTGAAAAATTGCATGGGGAGGTGGGGTAGGTCACGGAAAAAACTTCATGATAAACACCATATTCAACATTCTACTTTTTATACCCACTCCCATCCGGGGCAAGGTGGCCCAAAAAAGTGAGATTCAAACCCACATGTGCACAACACATATTTTCAATAATACCCCATTTTTTTGAGGTAGGGGCACCCCTGGCACATATTTTTATCCGCAAAAAAACCGGGCCAAAAATAATTTTCACCGCAAACATGGGGTACTATTAGTACCCCATTTTTCAATAATACCCCATTTTTTGGGACCCGGGCGCCCCCTGGCACAGAACCCGCTCGTCCCTTACTACTAGTGAGCAAGTACAAGTGTGTGTGCGTGTGTGTGTGTGTGGGGGGGGGGGGACTGTGCTTGAAGGGGACGGTTGCACTTTTTGTAGCTCCGGTTTATCTGAGTTTTCAGTCGTTCCTCTTACTAGTCTTAGACCACGGGATGGCTCTGGGTCCACCAGAGTCGCCCCTGGCGTGTTTCTGAATTTGCTGGGGCGAGGGTTCCGCGACTCGGTCGCCAGGGCAGTGTCTTTTCTGTCACGACCGTTGTCGTCCTCGTCTCTCCATTCGCGGTGGTGTAGCTAACCCCCGAATGGTTTCAAACTGCGAAGCTCGGTGTACAGTGGTGGCAGAGGCATGAGCTGTGAGTGGAGACGGTTGCTGGAGATGGATGGTGATGAAGGGAGAAGAGTTACGCTGCCTGACGATGCGCGGAGATTGTTTGATCCTGCAATTTCAGTTCGAGCGCGGTGGATTTCTAGACGATGTGTCCTCATGGCTGTTTTTCAACGCTTGGCCTATCGCTGATATCCCTGCGTGGAATGTTCTTCCAGTGGAGTCCAGGTTGGACTTCGGGTGCCCACACTCCATCACCTGGTTGATTGTTTCGGAACTGCAATAATACAGGTTCAAATAATTATTGTTTCCTTTTTGTGCGTTTCTCTTGTCATCTCTCTTTTCTATACGTCGCACACCAGATGTACTACTATCGCTGTCTTTCTCCTGCTATCTCTCTCTGCTTGCTGTTTTTTGTTTTTGTTGCCACTGCCCCTCATCATACCCATGCTTGGGTGGAGGGCGGCGTGACCTGTTAGGGTAGCTGTCAATACAGTACAGTACAGTGTGTGTGCATGCGTGCGTGTATGCGTGTGTGTATGTGTGAGTGTGCGTACATACTTAGATGTGTACGTGCGTATTTGAGTGTGCTAGCCTGTGTGTGTGTGTGTGAGTGTGTGTGTGTGTGTATGTGTGTTTGTACACTTATGCCAGATGGTGTTGTGTCTGCTGCCAACGGGCTCGGGTGCTTAAAGGTGTATTGTTGTACCTACCACCTTTGTTGGTTCCAGGGTTCATAATTATACTTCCTACTTGAAGTATACATACCTGTTAACCATGTACTGCTTCTGGCTAGATTAACTTTTGTGTAATCATTGGTGCTAGTAAAGCTTATATCAGATCCACTCTGATTTAGCCACCCCCACTTGTAGCAAGTATTACCTTCACTGGGGCAGGGCCAAGAGGAAACTGCAGTTGGATCCTGGGACGGATACCCTGATGCCGTCAATCCTTTTTCTGCACCTTGTCCTCTCCCACTTACTGATGTGTGGTGAGCCCATAAGTGGGATCAGTTCAAATCCACCCTAGTTTGGGGATTTCAGGGGGTGTCGGCCATTGGGTGGTTCAATAGCCAATTGAATCATCTTTCCAAGATTCCTTTTGAGTCTCTCTCCCCTCTCACAGGGAGACCCAGGTGACCAGTGTTGGCAGTGAGCAAGTACAGTACAGTACAGTACAGTACAGTGTGTGTGAAAATGGAAAAAAAAGATGAAAAATAGGGATTCACTGGCCAGAAAAAGCCACTTCAATCAGCTGTGCGGTGGACACCAGGCTAAAATTAATTGCGGTCAAATCATCATCCTTGCAAGCTGTTGAATGATGTTATCATAGCACAAGTTGCTATGTCTAACATAGCTGTTAGCTATCATCGCTTCTGCGATGGGCGTGCCTGAGTTCTGAGTTCTGAGTGTGTGTGTTTGTGTGTGTGGGTATATGTGTGTGGGTGTGTGTGTGTTTGTGTGTGTGTGCGTTTGTATGTGTGTGTGTGTGTGTGTGTGTGTGTGTGTGTGTGTGTGTGTGTGTGTGTGTGTGTGTGTGTGTGTGTGTGTGTGTGTGCGTGTGTGCATGCGCGTTCGTGTATGTGCGAGCGTGCAATTGTCCGTGTGTTTGTGATTTTCTGTGTTGGTTTGTGTGTTTGGGTGTATGTGTGTTTGAACATGCTAACATGTGTGTATCTTTATCTGTTTGTTTGTGTGTTTTGTGTGTATATGTGTGTATGTATCTGTATGTGTGTTAGTGTGTGTGTGTGTGTGTGTGTGTGTGTGTGTGTGTGTGTGTGTGTGTGTGTGTGTGTGTGTGCCAGCTAGTTCGGTTGGTGGGTACACTTATGCCAGATAGTGGTGGGCCTGTTGCCAATGGGCTCGGCTGCTTGAAGGTGTATTGTTGTACCTACCACCTTTGTTGGTTTCAGGGTTCATATACTTTCTATTTGAAGTATACATACCTGTTAACCATGGACTGCTTCTGGCTAGATTAACTCTTGTGTAATCAATGGTGCTAGTGAAGCTTATATCAGATTCATTCTGATTTAGCCACCCACACTAGTACCAAGTATTACCTTCACTGGGGGCAGGGGTACCTGCAGTTGGATCCCGGGACGGATACCCTGATGCCGTCAATCCTTTTTCTGCACCTTGTCCTCACCCACTTACTGAGGTGTGGTGAGCCCATAAGTGGGATCATTTCAAGTTCACCCTAGTTTGGAGATTTCAGGGGGTGTCGGCCGTTTGGTGGTTCAATGGCCAATTGAGTCATCTTTCCAAGACTCCTTTTGGGTCTCTCTCCCCTCTCCCGGGGAGACCCACGTGACCAGTTTTGGCAGTGAGCAAGTACAAGTACAAGTGTGTGTGTGTGTGTGTGTGTGTGTGTGTGTGTGTGTGTGTGTGTGTGTGTGTGTGTGTGTGTGTGTGTGTGTGTGTGTGTGTGTGTGTGTGGTGTGCGCACGAGCCTGCGTGAGTGTTTGTTTGCATACTTGCGTGCAAAATATGTGTTTTAATGGTGTGTGTGTTCGTGCATGTGTGTGTGGGCGTGGGTGTGTGTGTGTGTGTGTGTGTGTGTGTGTGTGTGTGTGTGTGTGTGTGCATGTGAGCATGTGAGCGTGTTCGTGTGTGCATGCATGTACGTACATATCTGTGTGCTTGTTTGCTCGTGCGTGCGTATTTGTGCTTGCATACCCAGGCTCTTCTGATGCTGGCAGCATGCTTCTATGGCAGCATTCATTGTGTCCAGTTTTTACTGTGGTGTGATCCGTCGCTCTTGCACCGCGAAGTTATGTTCGATTTTGGTAATGAGCCACGACAGGTGAGTACTGGCAGAAGTGCTCGGCATGAAACTGTTTGTTCTGATCACTGGTTTGTTTATTCTGATAAACTGAGCACGTGCTCATGCAGCGTCACTTTGCTGTCAAAGATGTTCCCAGAAAATTGAATGTTCCTCTCTTTGTAAATGTGGTGAACAATGCGCCTCAAAGCCATATAGAGTAAAACCTGTAACTAAAGACCACCGTGACTAGCGACCAGCCTGGTACTACAGTAAAACCTGTAACTAAAGACCACCGTGACTAGCGACCAGCCTGGTACTACAGTAAAACCTGTAACTAAAGACCACCGTGACTAGCGACCAGCCTGGTACTACAGTAAAACCTGTCACTAAAGACCACCGTGACTAGCGACCAGCCTGGTACTACAGTAAAACCTGTAACTAAAGACCACCGTGACTAGCGACCAGCCTGGTACTACAGTAAAACCTGTAACTAAAGACCACCGTGACTAGCGACCAGCCTGGTACTACAGTAAAACCTGTAACTAAAGACCACCGTGACTAGCGACCAGCCTGGTTCTACACACCACTTCGCCAGGCACGGACGGTTTCATATACAAAAATGCACTGTGCCTAGCTGCTGAACGTGCCTAGCTGCTGAACGCGACCAGCGACTGCCTTTTCTTGTCCCAATGTCGATTTTTGACCCGTAACCAGCGACCGCGGTGCAGGAAATCGAAGGTTGTTCGAAGCTCTTCGAATTTTTGATGATTTTCTGTCCTGAATGGACTGTTTCGATACTACAGCTGCACGAATGAACGCAATCTCATTTTGACTATGGGCTGCACTGCACTTGTCATAGTTTCAAGTGCTCACATGAGCAAACATGAAATGAAACGTCTTGGAGAGCACCTGCTCGAACCTGCTCTATGATCGATGCTACTTCTCAAAGGAGAAATGGCATTGCGCAAGTGGTGGGATATTGTGTTAGCTACATTTTGACATACATATCAGAGATTGGATTCATATAGGGTTGCGCGGTGCAAACCTCTAACTAAAGACCATCTGCCACTAAAGACCACCTGCCACTAAAGACCGTTTCTTCTTGCCCCAAGGGGTGGTCGTTAGTTGAAGGTTTACTGTATACACGGTATACTTTAGTAGAGGTACAACATAACCACTGGCCAGTGGGTATACTTTAGTAGAGCTACAACATAACCACTGGCCAGTGGGTATACTTTAGTAGAGCTGCAACATAACCACTGGCCAGTGGGTATACTTTAGTAGAGCTACAATATAACCACTGGCCAGTGGGTATACTTTAGTAGAGCTAGAACATAACTACTGGCCAGTGGGTATACTTTAGTAGAGCTACAACATAACCACTGGCCAGTGGGTATACTTTAGTAGAGCTACAACATAACCACTGGCCAGTGGGTATACTTTAGTAGAGCTACAACATAACCACTGGCCAGTGGGTATACTTTAGTAGAGCTACAACATAACCACTGGCCAGTGGGTATACTTTAGTAGAGCTACAACATAACCACTGGCCAGTGGGTATACTTTAGTAGAGCTACAACATAACCACTGGCCAGTGGGTATACTTTAGTAGAGGTACAACATAACCACTGGCCAGTGGGTATACTTTAGTAGAGCTACAACATAACCACTGACCAGTGGGTATACTTTAGTAGAGCTACAACATAACCACTGGCCAGTGGGTATACTTTAGTAGAGGTACAACATAACCACTGGCCAGTGGGTATACTTTAGTAGAGGTACAACATAACCACTGGCCAGTGGGTATACTTTAGTAGAGGTACAACATAACCACTGGCCAGTGGGTATACTTTAGTAGAGCTACAACATAACCACTGGCCAGTGGGTATACTTTAGTAGAGCTACAACATAACCACTGGCCAGTGGGTATACTTTAGTAGAGCTACAACATAACCACTGGCCAGTGGGTATACTTTAGTAGAGCTACAACATAACCACTGGCCAGTGGGTATACTTTAGTAGAGCTACAACATAACCACTGGCCAGTGGGTATACTTTAGTAGAGCTACAACATAACCACTGGCCAGTGGGTATACTTTAGTAGAGCTACAACATAACCACTGGCCAGTGGGTATACTTTAGTAGAGCTACAACATAACCACTGGCCAGTGGGTATACTTTAGTAGAGCTACAACATAACCACTGGCCAGTGGGTATACTTTAGTAGAGCTACAACATAACCACTGGCCAGTGGGTATACTTTAGTAGAGGTACAACATAACCACTGGCCAGTGGGTATACTTTAGTAGAGGTACAACATAACCACTGGCCAGTGGGTATACTTTAGTAGAGCTACAACATAACCACTGGCCAGTGGGTATACTTTAGTAGAGGTACAACATAACCACTGGCCAGTGGGTATACTTTAGTAGAGCTACAACATAACCACTGGCCAGTGGGTATACTTTAGTAGAGCTACAACATAACCACTGGCCAGTGGGTATACTTTAGTAGAGCTACAACATAACCACTGGCCAGTGGGTATACTTTAGTAGAGCTACAACATAACCACTGGCCAGTGGGTATACTTTAGTAGAGGTACAACATAACCACTGGCCAGTGGGTATACTTTAGTAGAGCTACAACATAACCACTGGCCAGTGGGTATACTTTAGTAGAGGTGAACGATAGGGGAAAAGATACTGTAGTTCTCCCAAGGGTACAAAACCCCCAAGAGTGTGCTACTTCAGTTTTGTTGTAACACGTTATGAGATGGCAGGACTTTACATCACTTGACGAGCTTGCACATAGTATGTTCACACCGTGCATGATAGATAGAGGGTTGAACCCACCCCTGTTTTGGGTTCAACTCTCCTCGGGTCACTTTGCATCGCTTGCCAGCGTTACCTTCTGAACCACGTGTGATGTGAAATTCTGGCGTAGCAGCACTGGATAAAGGCTGTGTGGTCAGTTGCACACTCTTGGGGTGATGTGCTCATTGTATCACTAATCTGAGGTTATGAGCTCAGTTCATAGGCACCACTGATGCAAGTATTATTCTGAATTTTGTGTCAAGTTCCAGCAAGCATTTACTATGTCCCCGTCCTCTACGACACACACACTAAGATGATATATGCTGTGTTCTTGGAGAAGTCAATTGTACTTCGAGTACATGTGTATGGTACTATGCTGCAATAGAAAGGAAAAATCTGGATCTTGTATGCTTTGCAGGTGATTGTAAGAATGTGTATGTGTGTATGTATGTGTTTGTTGCTATGGTGACCTAATAGGACTGCGAACCAGTATCACTTCTACATGTCTGCGCGCTCCGTGGACATAAAGCACTGTGTGAGCTGCTGATAAAAAATGGTGTCGATGTTAATGTCCAAGATGAGGTGAGCTTTGGAGGTGGAATGCACTAATCAAATGAGCTTTGCAACAAACTCTTGTGACATCAAGTATTTTTCAAGGACACCAAACCATTTGTCCTCATGCGCTGAATTTTAATGTGCGCATGTGGACATAGTGCACGGCATCATGTATGCCAGGGCCGTAGCTGCCACATACTTGACTGGTCCGGAGGGACATTTTTACCTTATAATGATATGACCGAATCAAGTTACTACAATGTACCAGTACATGTAGTGTACCTATATAGGTTTTTATTTTATTTTATATTTTTACTATGTTCACATACCCAACTCATAAATAATACAGAAAGACAATGGTACTGAGACAAGGACAAACGTGACAACTACTGAGAAGGGGCTGCACCGAGATGCAGCAGTGATGGTGGGGCATTGATGGCTCTGCCGACCTTAGGTCTCGGCATCACGGCCAGAAACACAAACCAAAAACAAAAAAAGATAGAGCTGTAAGGGTCAGCAAAAATAAAAATAAAGCAAGGGCAAACAACAGCTAGTACTAGTGTGCAGCGCATTCGTAGCAATGGGAGTCATTGACGGGGCACTTGAATGTAGGTGGGTTAACAGGCAGAATGTCCGTGGTCCATCGCCAATCCTGTCGGCGGAGGTATTCGTTTACGTTGCACTTAAACTTTTGAAGATTTTTGCTAATTGGGCGGAGTCTAGAAAAGCTGGCGGCAGGGAATTCCACAGCTGGATTGCACAATGTGGGAAGCTGGGGAGAATGGTGTCTGGTGCTTGACGCGGTAGGGGATTTCGTAGCTGGGAACTGTGCCCGGCGGCCATACGAAGATCGTTTCGAGTGCGAGTGGCGTCACGGGGCTCAAGCCTTGGTGGGAGGACTGCTAGCAATTGAGTCGAACCGGTGATGAAATGCAGTTTGTGCGTGTATGTTAATGCAGCAACGTATCGCCGTAGGCTGAGGCTCTGGAGCTCCGTCCCGGGACCATTGATGCGCAATGCACGGCGTTGGATGCTGTCTAGGCGTGCAATGTGGGATGGATCAGCTCCCATCCAGACGAGCGGGGCATACTCCCAAACGGGCCGTACAAACCCCTTGTACATTGTGAAGTGGCCTTCTCGGGAGAGATAGGGCGCAGCTCGCCGCAGGAGGCCCAGACGCTGTTTGCCACGTATAGACACTGCGCGGATATGCTCCGCGAAGGACAGCTTCGGATCAAAAGTCACCCCCAAGAGCTTTATTGTGGATAACTCTGGCACAGGGTTGCCTCCAAAGAGGAGAGAGGGCAAGGCTAGCTGCGTTCTTTGCAGCGTGCATCGTCAGTTGAAATATTTTTGGCGAAGTCACAGATTCGTGAGTGATCGTGGCACAGTGCCGCATATTGAACACATTCCAAAATCTGCTGACTCACCCTCGTATACTAGTGTGTCCATTCGAAAATCTCTATGAAATCATTCGTATAACCTCTAGATGTATACGAATTCTCATAACTTGGAGAAAGATGATTGACACAGTCTTGTGTGGATTGAATAAACGTCTTCAGGCTGCGAAGTGCACTGAATGACCTCTCCGATGTGGTGTTCGTGGTTGGAAGAATAAGCAGTAGGTGAAACAACCAGCAGGCAGGCAATGGCTTACACAGCTGGTGCGAAGTGAGCAGCTAAGCTCCTTACAACTTACAGCCTGTTTGGGCGCGTTCCTGTCACTCGAGTTGAACCCCCTTTGAACCTTTGAGTTGAACCTTGGTGTGAAGAAAAGTTGTAGCCTGCAGGCACGATGACCAAGTGACTGGTGTACGGACCAGCACGTGATCGCTTACTCACCTGTGTTTTATTTTGGAATAAGGGCCAAACGCTGCATCGTAGCCTTCTTGGAACAATAACAGTCGACTCCGCATCCAAAAGACTACAACATATGGGCCAATCGTGTTCATCCGTGCTCATAGGAACGAAATGGCGCTTTTAGTGACATTTTGCATAGAAATCCCTCTCTATTTAATAGTGGTTGCGACTTCGAGGATGATTTTTTTGGGAAAGGGTTTGCTCCCACACCGGAGTCAAGTGTCGGAATAGCGCGAGCTCCAGTGTGGGAGCAAATCCTTTCCAAAATCCCCCTCTGATAGGGTCACCCAGTTTCGGTGGAAGAGCGTGAGTTCGATTGGGGATAAAGGAGGAAAAGAGCGTCTCGAATTCCTCGGACCAAAATCATTCGACTCAGCATCCTGAAGACAGAAAATGGTAGAATAGACCAATCCCGAAAAGATTGTCTGGGTTCGAAAGGGGGCATGTCAACTGAGAGTGCACTGTACAATACAAATATGGGACTAATTGATCAGCATGCGGCACAGGATGTGTTTGATAGTTCGCGTGTGAATGCGAGGGTAAGTACACGGTTAGCCCCTGCACCCGTAAATATGCAAGAACCTCCAAGTGAACCCGCACGCCCAGCTTGGGCACTCGTGAACCCACGCAGTCAGACACAAGCGAACACATGCACGCACACGCCACTGGCGTACCCATGCTCTGACACGCAGACACCCGCACAACGTACCGCTCACTATGGCGTGCACAAACATACAATAGACACATTGGGTTGGGGGTTGGCAGAATTTCTTTTGGACAATTCAAGTATTCAAGAATATGCTCTTTGATAATAATTGATTGAGTAAAGATGCATGGAGGAAACTAGCATCGTCGGGAGCTAAACTAGCATACTGCCCACCGAGGTCGCCCGAAGGGCTAAACTAGCCTACTGCCCACCGAGGCCGCGCAAATGGCCGCCGAGGGCAGCAAACCGCCCGCCGAGGGCTAAACTAGCATACTGCCCACCGAGGGCGCTCAAATGGCCGCCGCGGCCAGCAAACCGCCCGTTGAGGGCCAGTATCATCTTGCCCGCCGAGGGCAAACACAAACGGCTACCGAGGCCAGCAAATCACCCACCGAGGGCTCACATGACTGCCTGGCATCAGGCGTCACAACATACAGACACAATAGGAGGCCCGTTTGCCCCAAAAAAGATAGTAGTCCTAGAAACCATGGCATCCCGTTCCCCGCAATCCACAACGAGCTAGCTATGTGACCACGGCTGCAATTGCAGCGAATTACTCACAGTAATACCATGCCCGTGCAGGCATACACACACTAGTTTGAATTGCGAGAGCCGCTCACTAACTTACAAGATAGGCATCCCGGCTGGCTGCCGCACGTAACATTCGCATGCAGAGCTTCTCCAGCGGCCCGCCGGCTTTACTTGTGGTGGGATAACAGGGACGGGGAGAGCACTAGCTGGCCACTGTCCTCTGACACCTGGACTCGTATTCCTGGCTGGCTCGTCCGCAAGGGGAGTGAGGAACAACGCAAGCTCCACATATTTCCCGCGCAGCACCTCGTCGTACGTACTGCGGGACACGTGGTCAGTCGCCCATTAGGCCTCGGTCACACTACGGCAAAAATGCTGCGTCAGCGTCAGAATCATGAGCCTTTCCATGGCAACTGACGCAGACGCGGGAAATTTGAGCATCAGACGCTGCTGCATCTGACGTGGGGAAATCGGCCGTGTTGCCGCTGATAGGAGTGACGCTTGGCGAAAAAACAGTGTCTTTTAAGGCAGTTGCTTGAGTTGAGCAGTCTTTCGACATTCGTCTCTTCAAGGTTTGTTTTGTTCCCTCTTTTTTCGAGATGAGTCTGTGGACCTACGAGGCCGAGGCTGCTCTTCTCAAAACCTGGCGGAAGAGCGAGGCGTTTTCTGAGAAGAAAATGATGTTGAAAAAGGACAGTAGTATGAGTGGGTCATCGCTCAACTGGAGCCTGCTGACTTGTGAGTGTTGTGTTGTCGTCAAGAGCCCCCAAAAAGGAGAACCAATATGACGAAGTCAGGAGAAACACAGCTGAGATGCGGACTTTTCTTGGCTTATCCATGACACTACAACTGAAAAGGGCTTCAAATAATTCAGAAGGAAACAACAACAATTGTGCACATGTGGACCTTTCGTCTTCTTGTAATAATGAAAAATCAATGAAAATTTTGAAAATTTTGTCTGACAATTATTTTGTATAATAAACAAAAGGACGGTTTCCGTGGGAATCCATGTCGTCATTGAGTTTCCCGGGTGATTTTGTCACGTTGACAAATGCGTCAGACCGCGGCAGTCACGAGCTGCAAAAACAAAACACTGTGTGACCCCGCGACTGCGTCAAGTGCTGCGGCTTGACGCTGCGTCCAGCTTAACTTGCTGTAGTGTGACCGAGGGCTTACAGGACCCGACATTGACAGCACTAGGGTTACACACATAATCATTGTATGCGAGACTGCTGGAGATATTCACACTAGGAGTAGGCACACGAGAGCTATGGATAGTCACAGCACTAGGGGGAGACAGCCCGTCTACAACAGTCGACGCAGCCACCGGGGTAGGGAGGCTAGCACTAGAAGGCACACGTGTGGAACTACTACTACACACACCCGTACCTGTGGGAAGCGACTCCTCCACCTGCACCCAAGGATCGGCAGTGTTGGCAGGGGTAGCCGGGCGGGACGGACGGCGTGTCGACCCCGCCTGACCTGAGGCTGCAAGGGCGACGGCTCCAACAGCCGCCTGGACCAATGTGGCGATCAAGGCCTGGAGGGTTGCAATTTGGCAAGGAAAAAACCCGGGCACCGGAGCCAGCATTGCCGGGGAGCAGGGGGTGCTGCAGCAGCAGGAGGAGCTCGAGCAGTCATGCTGCGGGTCGGGGGAGCAGGGGGTGCTGCAGCAGCAGGAGGAGCTCGCTGCGGGGCGCGACACGTCGGGTACTCATCTCAGCAACTAACGGAGAAAAGGGAAAACCTCGGAAGGAAGAAAAAACTTTGACTGCAAACGCAAAGAACTCTCCTTCGCACAAAGACAGCTCAGCAAAACACGTCTCCAAATTATTAGACGCCGCCTCAACTGTCCATAAATATTGCCAGGCCACACGCTGCGCACGCAGTGGGAGGATCAGATCCAAGGCCCACTGCGGCGGTACAGAGC